TGCCCAAGTGCAGATCTCGACGAGATAACGTCCGTCAGCTGCTCGCAACGGAGTACGTACCGTACAATGGTTTTGTACACATAATCGTCATATCATTATCGTCCGTCGGATACCATGATTTGAAATACTGAGGGGACCAAAAATTAATTTATCGTACGTATGATTACCGAAAGAATAACGAGACGTTTAAATAAATTTTAGCTATGTGCAATGAAAATATTTATGTATCAAACATCGTTCTTACATTGACAAGACAGTATATCAGAGTTTCCCATTCTGTCTAGAGGACATTCAAGTTGTTCAAGCTTCATGAAATACGGCAGTATCTATTTTTCTAAAATGGCAGACAGTAATATCGTTAGTGAAAATATTTTTTTAGGTGGTTAGTTCGCTATTTTATGCTACCTCTAAGCCTACTCTCCTAGACCCTTCTAAAAGCTTCTTGGTGACGATGACGTCACACCCTTACCAGTACTAATCGTAAACATAATCCGTAATCATGTCATGCCTGTATTATTGTCCTTAAACATTCAGAAGCGTTATCATGTAAATGCAACTTATAAACACCCCACACGCCGCTATCGCATAGTTGGCATGGACCGCACGTCGCTTGCATTTCAAAGAAGCTGAAGTTTTTGGTTGCTAAAGGCTTCTTCATCATGTCTGCTAACTGCTTTTCGTGCTAATATACCTTATTACGATCACATCTCGGGCCACGTTTTCCTGAACGAAGTGAGGATGAATATCAAAATGCTTTGCTCGAATATACTATCCTGCATTGTTTGCAAGCACAATGGCACTAAGTTGTCCTCGAAGATCAGAGTCGCTATGGCTTGTTCATGGCTGAGGCCTTTAAGCATAGCTAGTACCCAAGACTGCCTGCGTAAACAAGCTAAACGCCATGTAATGGGCTTCTGCTAAGCTGAAAGCCATTGTACGTTGATGCTTTGACTTGAAAATTAAAGGAGCGTGTCTAATCATTACCATGATCTCCGTCACAGAGCGTCAGTCGTTGATGTTGCTGTCTCAGTCGGCATCCGTGTATGCCACAACGTCAAAGTTACCCATGCTGCCCTTGTAAATTAGTTCTTCTCTTGCATCGTCTCAAGTTATCGACATACACGAATGACAGCCTTTCAGTGCTGTTGGCCTGGATTTTCAAGAAAAGAGAGATAGTTGGGTAACAACATATGCAACGTCACGACAAGGGCATGTCGTAATGCAGACAGGGAATCCGATAAGTAACCTGAATTGCTTCGAGCGCATCTCGTCTAGCCCATCATCGGTCGTCGGAAACTGCATCATACACAGCTTTAATTTCGAAATTGCACGGGTATTCGACAGTCCTCGCGTTTTGCTGCTTAAAACGCCCTGCTACATCGTTAACGTAACGAGGCTGTTTGATCATGAGAGTCTTCTTTGCCCGATCATGATTTAACTCCATCTTTAATATAAGCTTGGCCTCACCAAGCTCTTTCATCTTAAATGCTCTCTTGAGTGCTGTCTTGACTTCCGTTATCTCTTTGCTCGTTTGAGCAGCAATGGACATGCCATCAACACAAAGACATACGTGCACCAAGCTCGACAACTTATTCGTTGCGTATACACATTGGTCGGCTCCATCGACCTTGAATCCGACCTACCAGAATAACTGATGAATTGTTTTGTTCCACACGTAAGCTGCTTGTTTAGGTCGTATATTGCTTGATCGAGTCAGTAGATGCAGTTTTTGACGTTGGCGTTACCGGGTGGTTATAACATGTACACGCGTGCCTCCAGATCACTGCTAAAAATTCAGTGTCGGCATCTAAGTGTTCGGTTACAAAGCCCTCAGTCACAGCAAGTACCATCACCATCCAAATTAAATTCATGTTGGTCAGCGGCGAAATTGTTTCGAAGGAATTCACACCAAACGTTTGATTGGTTCCCTTGGGTACAAGCCGAGATTTATAACATATTACTCACCCGATCTCATTTCGCTTCTTTGCAAAGACCCATTGACAGCTGATTGGGCGCATATCCGCTCTTCCTGACCCCAAGGTCCATGAACCATTTAGCTTGTGCGCTTTAAGTTCAGCCTTCATAGCATCCATCCATTCTGGCGCATTTTGACCTATCATGACCTGCTGATACGTGCGTGGTTGGGGCGTTTGCAGCATAGGCTAACACGTCTTCAGCAATTAGGTTTTCTTCATCAATGCAAGGTCTTTAAAGCGATGAGACCAGAAAAAGTCGTCACTGATAGGATCATTGTTATAGTCTTCATCAATAGTTTTTAATATTAGTCGAGTTGGAGCCTGTCGAGCTGGGGCTCTCACTGCTGTTGTCCTCTCATTTTACGGAGTGTCGAAAGCTTTTGATCGGTGGATGGTGGATCGACGTCAACCTCACGCATAACGGTGGCTTTGCTGTACTCCTCAACTGGAACAAGCGGCTCGTCGATCATGGATGAAGTTTGATGGTGGTGAGGCCTTGAGTTTTCACTGTCCAAGTAAATCTTGTCATCGCACTTGCATTGATCACAATCCCAGAGTCGTATATGGCATTTAGATCACGCTCGTCGAGTTTGAACGACCTTACCACTTTGATCTTCTGCGACTTCAAATCGAATTCCCTGGAGCCCTTAATATATTCGGCGTACCCCAAAAGCAAGCATGAAACGCTTTTTGCTTCGGTTTGTGTTCGCTTGGTATTATCTTCATGCGCTTAACCGTGGATCCGAACACGTGCAGGTAGTTCGAGCGTGGCTTGACCTTGAAACTTATCTCGTTCGGCATTATGTCCGAGTGAGCACTATTGCTGGTCCTGTTGATCACATGGACTGCCTTCGTCCACCATTCGGCTGATGCCCTTTGTAATGCGGCATTATCCTTGCTTTTTCCATGATGGTGCGATACATCCTCTCAAATTCTCCAATTTGCTGCAGACTGCAAGGCACAGTTTTGTGGTGTATGATATCTACAAGATCACAAATATTTTCCAGCGTCTTATTCTCCAAGCCATTGTTTGAGCGCAAACGCTTACAGCGATTCTGCCATCTTGTAAATCATGAACGTCTGTGCAACCTCGCATTTCTTTTTGAGAAAGAAAACGACCACATATCTTATATAGTCGTCTATAAAGATAAGCACGTACTTTGATCCTCCTTCGATTGTGTTTTCATTGGACCGATCACGGCCGTGTGGACCGAATCAAGTACATGCGATGTTTTGGATATCGATCAGGACGGAAACTTATTCCATGTCTGCTTCCCTCTCATGTATCCACCACATAACGTATTGGTCTGCTGCTTCGTCGCTGGTATACCTATTGTTGCTTTTTGTGTTATTGTTATTGAATCTGAATTGAGGTGACTTAATTGAGCCATAACCCCCACTGGCTTCCAAACTGTGCATAATCCACGTAAAAACACTTTCTTGTTGCAAATCCAGCATGTAAGCTTTGCTTACTTTCTTGCCCGTAGCTATTGCTCCCGAGTTCTTCAAAATAGTGCACAATGTTCCTTGAAATTCAACGCTCAGGCTGCGTACAACACTTTTTCTAAATGACAGTAATCGTCGATCTAGTCTTGGAATGTGTAATGCCTTCATAATGATTTGTGATCTACACATTTCAGCCGTACCGAACTCATTCCAACTACGCGCAGCCTCTCCCCACCCGCAATTGTCACTTCCCTTTTCTCATTATCGACAACATATTTGCTCTGGTCTTCACATGCGGGCTCATATGTAAAGTCACTCAACTGTCGATCAACCGACCAGTGGTTTTATGCTCTCTAATTGGTAATCGCGTTTTCATTGCTCACGTTACGGTTACCCGGGCAATCCTGCTTCGAATATCGAATTTGACCGCACCCAAGACACTTGCCTTTGAGCTCATGACCACTCTTCCCGCCATTGTTCTTATGACCGTCGTATTCATTGCTTGTCGTGAACCCACCTTTATTCTTCTGACCGTTGTAATCAATGCTTTTCGTGAACTCCCCTTTTTTTCTTGAGCTGTATAAAGTGGCATTCATCGCACATTCCGTACTTTTTCTTCTTGTCCTGACGCTCTAACCCATTCAGTAGTTTGTTTCTTTTTTACCTCACTAAGCACGATGCCTTTCAATATTCAATAAAATTCGTACTCAGCCGGAATGCTGCTTAGTAAAACTACTAGCTGCCTAGCATCATCTAGTGGCTTTCCAGGTGCCTGTAGCCTCATTATAACCTCGTCAAAAATATCGAGATGCTTTGTCCTGGTCATTCCACCCTCCATCTTGAACTCTTGAGATGACGTGTCATTGACACACAGTCGTGCATCGTGGTTTGATTTTAAAATTCCCGTAGGGTGTCCTCAGCATGCATAGCCGTTGTTGCCTAGCGAATCTCAGTATGATGCTCAGGAGCAAGACCTTGTGCAATCAGACCGAGCGCCTTCATGTCGTTCAGAATCCACCTGGTAATCTCTGCCTCGTCTGCACATGCGCTAGTACCACTACTTTGCCATCGCTATTCGTATAACAGACTCCAGTGTGCATAATTGTAATTTCTAAGGATGACTCCAGTATGTTTGGCAGAGATGGTTTTGCTAGCGAGGGGCTTAAGCTCCCTCTGCGACCGTAAACAGTTAGACTGGTGTGTCGAGTAGAAAGTATTTGTGAAGTAAAAATATTCATTTATGTACTTATCTTGCTATGATGCGCTACCTCAAGTCTATCCTTCTATACCCTTTTAAAAGCTTCTTGGTGACGTCATATATGACGTCACACCATTACTGGTATTAATCGCCAACACAGCCCGTAATCATGTCACGCCTCCAATCATGCCCTTAAGCATTCACGGGCGTAATTGTGTAACTGCAGCTTTAATATATTTTATATTCGCATCGTCAGTCTTCTAAAGGATGAAATATGACTTCAACCTTTTGCGTCAGATATTGGCGCGCTATTGAAATACATATGTTTTACATCTAAAGTTGGTAAATTGAAAGTGCTATTTGTTTCCTCCATTTCGAATTTTCGCCCCCTGAAGTTTTTATTCTTAGGTCGATGAATAATTTTCTCAATTAATGGTCCATTGTCTTCTTTTTCTTGGAGAGGCTCGAGAAAATGGGTAAATCATAAGACGATCCCTGTCTGTCTTTTGCGAGTTTCGTTTGTCAAACCCGAATCAATGCCCGCCATAGTAGCATTTAAAGCTGACTTTTTTGTTGTCATTGTGCTTGTCCAATACGTCAATCACATTCTGAGTACAGTAACAGTCCTAAAGCAGTGATGATAGTTTGTCTTATACATTATTGGAGCCAAGAACCTATCCATGTTCAGAGTGGTCGGGGATAAAGTGTGATCCAGGGTGATTGCAGACGGATGAACCATAACATGGATAGGTGGTCGATTAATAGCTGTTGTCGTATATTGATGTATATGAAGAAGCTGTAGGTTTGTGAGCAAAGCGCGAACTGAATACATTCAGGTCCTCAGTTCGCTGCCTGTGAAACATCTAAGCCTATTCTTCTAGATCCTTCTAGAAGCTTCATAGAGCAATCTATATTTATCCAGACCAATGAACGACTACCATTGTGTCCGTAATCAATATCCGTAATTATGATGATAACTGTAAACATTACCGTAATACTTGTGACGTTATACACGCACTATCAGCGATATGTCTCAACAGACTGGTTAGGTACTGCTACTAAACAATCCTGTGCAAAGGATTATTCTAAAATCTCTTTGACGCACCCATCTCTTTGTATTCTCTCACGTATGAGCCTCCTTCTACTTTGTTCAAACCGAACGTAATTTTACTATACAGTACTTTTTGAGTATGACAGCTGTAGTCTGAACAGATTCATTTTCCTATCAAATTTGATTGACAAATCCAGGGGAGATTTTTTGTGGGAGGTACCGAAACTGGATGGGAGGCAAACAATGCTTTCCTTTCGAAATTGATGTTATTTAGATTTTATCTGACGGTTATTCTATTTGCTGTCGTCGGACTACAAAATTCAGCAGTCATTATGATTACTTTTATCTTATGTTTTGGAATCCTTCAAAGTTTTTACTAAATTTAGCAAGTAACATACATCAGTCACAATGTGTTTCTTCAACTTTTCAAAATTTTGAAAAATTATGATTTAGAGTTGTACTCTTTCTGTAATAAATTTATCATTTTGTAAAAAGCGATACAAATAACCTTTTGCATCTTTATACTCTTCATATCTTTACCCCCATCCATCATCATATGAATCACAACAGTGAGCAACTTCAGTCGGTTTAAAGGCGTAATGATGTGGACAAAATTGGTGCGTTTTTAAAAAAGAATGCTGGTCTTTGGAGCTAGTTTCAGCTCGTCATCAATGCTCAGGACATGGTCGTGAGTTTGACGGTGGAGTGTCACATCACTCCCAGCCGATGTAACGAACATGGAGCACATGGCTCATATAGAGGGTAGGCAAAGCGCGGTGAGGACCTCATTTTCGAAGTGCGGCTATGTTCTGTGCACTTGAGAAAGGGCGGAGATGTGCCGTCACGACTTTAAATAACACCACGGCTATTTTCATCGAGAACATCTCGGCATCGTCACGATAAATTCTTACGGCCCATTGGCCACAAGAACCGCACCTCTTTGGAAGGCTCTTTGAGCCGTTTAATTGGTGCACTAGAGAGGACCCCGATACAAGTGTGCTTTGAGCTGCGGACCGTTGAAGTCGCGCCGCGTAATGAGAGCTGGACGAGCCAACTGACTTGACGAATGATGACAGGGATCGGCAAATCACGTATGGCAAGATCTGATTGGGTGATAATGCAGGAAATGGCACGATTCGTCGAGTTCAAGGGGCCAGTGAGTCAGTGGGAGCTGTGGCATGCTCGCATGGGGCACCCCAATGGGGATGCGTATGAGAGGACACAGCGCGCAACGACTGGGATGTCAGGATTTTATGCGGTGGCTGCATGAACGGAAAGTAGCAAGATCGCTGACCAAGTCATCAAGTGTACTGGAGCTCGTACACACGGACGTGATGGGACCAATGAAGACAAAGTCGAAGGGTGGAGCGAAGTACGTGCTCACCTTCGTAGACAACCACTCGAGGTTTGTGCTCGTGTATTTTCTCAAGAAGAAGAGTGAAGTGGTGATGAAGTTCAAGGCGTACGAGGCGTTGTACAAGAACCAGTGGGGTCAGCTATTCAAGGTGATTCGCTCAGACAATGGCACTGAGTTTGTGAACAAGGCTCTAGATGGAATCTGAGCGCAGCGGGGTTGTGCATCAGACTGTGCCGTACAGCCCGCAACAGAACGGCGTGGCTGAGCCAATGAACCGGACGATCATGGAGAAAGCTCGGAGCATGCTGCACTATAAGGATGTGAGCTGGTTGTGGTGGGCCGAGGCGGTGAATACAGCGGTGTACCTGGTCAACAGGACGAAGGATAGTGGTCACGCGAACATGACCCCAAACGAGCTGTGTTTCAAGGTGAATCCGCGACATGGAGCATTTGCGCGTGTACGGCTCTACCGGGTATGCTCATTTGGAAGACGGCAAACGTACGAAGCTGGATGCAAAGAGCTTCTAGTGTATGTTCTTGGGGTACGCTGAGAACGTCAAGGGGTACCGGGTGTACGACTCGGAGTCGAACAGGCTCAAGGTGTCACGTTCGCTGAGACTGGATGAACGGAAGGTCAACGGTATCTACGATACGGCTGTACTAAACCAGTCGACAATCGTCCATGTGACCAAGGTGGTGGACGATTTAGTGCAGCATGAAGACGTGCAGCCACAGGTGGAACCTACCGTCTACGAACCCTTTCCGCTTGCTAAGGAGGAGCTCGGTGGCGATGACGTAGAAATGCAGGAACTTGAAGCGGAGCCGATATCGACGAGTAGAGAGCTGACGACGTATAGAAAATCTTCAAGCTTGACGACCGGCGACAGCATGATGTTCCACCCGTGGACGGAGCGTGTTCGCCGAACAGAGACACCGATGCTACTGCTGAACAATGGCTCCAAGAATTACGAATCGGCGATTGTGGAATCGACGAACAACGACGGATGCCATGGGACCGACAGTGATCCTGACAACGACTACCACTTTTGGCCACCATCGCCCAAGCGACCGCATTGATGAAGATCGACTGCTCGCTGAGGCAGTGCTGGCATATGCTGCTAGTGTAGGCAAGGCTGACGATGTACCAACGACGTATCAGCAAGCCATGGATAGTGACGATACGGCGGAGTGGGTGAAGGCGATGAAGGCAGAGCTGCGAGCGCATGAACAGAATGGATCATGGACACTGGTGCCGAGGTCGGCAAATCTACGACCTATTGGGTCCAGATGAGTGTTCGCCAAGAAGCGGAACGAGCATGGCAAGTGGTTCGGTACAAGGTTCGGCTCGTGGCGAAGGGTTTCAAGCAAAATTTCGGCGTAGACTTATTCGAAACCTACTAACCGGTGGCCAACATGAATTCGATTTGTGTGGTGTTGGCGGTTACGGTGAACGTGACGGAGCAGTTGGATGCGGACACGGCATTCCTCAACAGCGACCTCAATGAACGCTTGTACATGGAGGTGCCGTATGGCATTTAGGACGCCGGGATTGAAGCAAGTGGCGAGCGCATGGAACAAGACGATCCATCGCGTCATCATGAAGCATGGCTTCAAGAGCTGCGGGGGCAGACCATGTGCGTGTACGTCACGAGGAGAAAGGGCAACTTAGAATTTGTATGTCTTTACGACGACGACATGATCATCGCGGCAAAGACGAGCACGGAAACCCAGGACGTCAAGAAGGGACTCGAGAAGGCGTTTAAGATGAAGGAGCTCGGCAAAGCTAAGTCCATCTTGGGGATGGAGATCGACCACCAGAGGTCAGCGAATTCACTGACCATCAAGCAAACGCGCTATATTGACGACGTGGTGGAGCGCCTCAATCAGCAGGACGCCAAGGCTGTATAGAATCCGTGCGAGTTGAAATTCAAGCTGTCGAAGTTTCTATCGCCGACCACGGATGCAGCAGTAACATGATGCGGACAAAGCCGTACCGATCGCTGATTAGGTGCCTGCTGTACATCGCCACTTATACACACCCCGACGTTACGTTCGTGGTGACGCAGCTGTCAAAGTTCTTGGAAACCCCAGGGAAACAGCACTGGAAGGCGGCCATCCGCGTTCTTCGTTACCGTAAGACTACGAAGGCGATTGGGATCGTCTACCAAGGAGATATAAGCGAACTGAAGGTCGAGGCGTACACGGACGCGAATTGGGACAGTAATATCGAAGACCGACGTTCGGTGTCAGGGATCATGATTATCATCGAACAAGTGTCCGTGGTCTTCAAGTCCAACTTCCAGCGCACGGTGGCGCCGAGCTTGGCGGAGGCGGAGTACATGGCACTGGGTCTGTGCGCTCTAGAAGTACTCTGGGTGCGGGCGATGTTCAAGGACCTTGGTTATGAGCAAGTGGGAGCGACTCGCATATGGGAAGACAACCAAGGAGCGATCAAGCTGGCATCGAACGCCGGCTACAACGCAAGGACCAAGCACGTGGATATTCGTCATCACTTCATCCGAGAGAATGTGGCCATGCTGTCAAGACAACGTCACATTGTACGACTATGTACAGAAGCACCGTGAACTTCGTGCTAGTATGGCAAGTGAACCACCGCCCGGGGCATTGATAATCATTGCGTTTATGGAGATGAATAGGAGGAGGCAAAGTGGAAAGCTTTAAGGTCGGAGACCTGGTTTTACTAAATTAAACCTACAAGGAGGCGGCAAAGTGGAAAGCTTTATGGTCGGATACCTGGTTTTACTAAATGCCTACACATGCAGCCTCTGCTGTCTTCAGGACGAAGCTTCGTCCACGGTTTATCGGACCGTTTAAGGTTGTGGCCAGACGGGGCTTGTTGTACATGCTGAACCTTCCGAAACGGATGCGCGCCCACCCGGTGTTGCACGTGGTCCTCCTTAGGCTAGAGTCATCCGACAGAGTCCAACGACTCTGGAAAATGCAATTATGATTGCATTGCGTGATGACTAGTGTCAGCGTCCAGTATCTGGTTAAGCGGTCAACCAGATGAAAGTGATAACTGCTTCTGCCGGAAATCCGGAAGCAATGTATCGTGGAGCGGTGACTATCCGAGACAGCAAGTTTGCTTTTACGGATGTCAACAAGTCGGTTACAACCGACGTGAATGTCCAAGTGGGAGACGAACCTCTCAATACGGTGCTCGTCGTAGTCACGTGGTACCAATGCCACGAGACATTCGGGAAACGTCGGAACCCAGTGGTCTACAAGCTGGTGGTAGAATCACTCATGAGGGTTTATCCCTCGAAGGATCTTTCGTTAGCGATACGAGTTGGAGTTGTCTCCTCACGGTCACAGCGAGTGTGAAGGATTACGGTCGTTCGTCGAGAGTGAGTAACTTCGGTACGTAGCGTAATTAGCACGGAAGCAAACTGATGCTAAAATTGATTTAGCGCTTTCGACGCACTAGATATAAGCAATGGCTTTATCTCGGTGAAGTTGGCCAGTGGTGCGGTGGTCACCCCGAAGGAAATTATGGTTGAATTTCAACTGAAGCTTCAAGACTTTAACTCGAAGGAGGTATTTACAGTTCTCAAGATGGAAAAACGGTATGATCTAATTTCAAGTATACCGTGGTTTGAGAAGCATCATCTATTAAGCGATTGGCGATAAAAAACGATTGTGAGTAGCTCTCTTTGTTTAGATGAAACCCTAGGAGTACTGAGCTTACATTTACCATGAACTGGAAAAAGCACTCAAGCTCCCGGCAGTCGTGAGCTCTTCAAATGATCCAAACTTCGTTCGTAAACGTCATGTAATTTTTGTTCTCCAGGTTAGGAGAGAAAAAGATTCGTATAGAGTGACTTCTGGTGGGCACTCAGGTGAATGTCGATAGAACAAATGGTGCACAGAAGTGGCCACTTGAAAGCGAATGAGTCATTGTTGGGCATGACATTTTGTCCAACGGTAAGAAAACATAAGGAAGAGACGACAGTTGCTGCTCGCTCACAACAGAAGAATGTTGTCGACATATGTGTGATGAAAAGTTGAAGGAAGCGAATGTAGCTGTATATGACAACACTCTCACTGATACAGCGGATCAGTCGAATTTGGGTCAGTGGGTTTAACTGACCACAAAGGTGATGCTCCAACCCGTTGTTAGGTTGAGCACACACATGTAGAGAAATCAACTGAATTTGTTAATCGCGGAGTGATACTCTTGCTCTGGATGCGGTTGAGTTTGCGGGTGAAATAGTGCAGCGTGCTACTCCCCAGAATGGAAAAATAGCATGCAAATTTGCTGGTCTAGAAATTGTGATTGTAATGACTGATTGTGAAGTTCGTAGAACAAATGTTCTTTTGGTACCGTTGCCGACGATGTAAGAGCTGGTGCAGCTCAAGAAAGTCACTTACAACGTCCTACACGACTCCGAGTGTGATAACATTGCGAAGGTCGTGTTGCTTCAGTCGGAGGTCAATTCAACGAAACTACGCTCGTCATTAGTTCTGAATGATTTGGCTCTCAAAAAATTTCGACAGCGTGTAGAGTCACGCAGAGGATCTGCTATTCTGGAGGATTCAACTGATCCAATTATTCACTTGCTTTTGAATACAAGGGTGGCGTCCTTGGTGCGAAGTCTACCTCAACTCGTTTATCCGAACGTAGTGTTCGACACGGAATCGATCGTAAACCTGTTCAAAGCGTGCAGTGGCCACTGTCGTGTGAGCAACGTGAGTAAATCGATTGGCTCTTTGCTCAAAAGTAAGCTGCAGGATTGGTTTGGGAGAGCAAGTGTTCTCACAGCGCACCGACGCTTTATGTGCGCAAACCAAATGGTTAATGGCGTATAGCTGACGTCTGTGACAAGCTGAATGCACAGGCCATCCCCGTTAAAACGCCGACATCGCTTAAGGATGTTGTCTTCCACCTTATCTCTGGCTGCTCACGGTTTGCTGTACTTGATATGTCTTAGGGATATAACCAAATCTTGGTAAGGGAGGGGACGTCCTTTTGACGGATACAGTACAACGTCCGGTATTTTATGGGAGTCACTTGTGATACTCCATGGATTATCCAGTGTCCCAGCAACGTTCAATTGATTGGCCTCTCATTTGATTCGACCACTGCAAAGCTTCGCATAAACATTTTGCTTACACTATCGAACGGCCAAGTTGGCTAAAGACCCATACAACGTTCCACGAATGGCTCCTCGAGTCCTAGCACTGTGATGACACGATTTCCAACCTAGATGTAACGCGAGGACACACGAATGTGGATTTAGAGCGACATCTTCAGCATGATGGTCGAAGGTTGATTTCGTTGGCGTCGTCGCCTCCGTATCGTTCAAAATGGCAATAATCATTGAGAACGCTGGAATTCGAGCGAGGTCGCTTGGAAGGAGGCCCTGCATCATCAGCGGAAGCAGCTGCAGCGGACGGGAAAGCTTGCAGAGCCTGCTCCAATTAATGGATCCGAATTTCGAATACATTCCCAGGAGAGTTCCATGACGCTACGGGAGATCGCGAACTTCGCGAAAGACCTGTCGATTACTATTCAAGCGTTATTGCGTCGACGACACCCGATCAGTCGCCTCCACCAACCGCTGGTTCATCAGCGAGAGTAGCTTCTCCGCCTTCGGCAAAAAAAATGCTAAAGGCGGACGAAGACTTTGACCAGCCACAGAAGAAGCAGAAGGGTTGCCCTCGCTGGGCACCTCCCCTTCTTCTAGATCTACAAAAAAATCGGTTCTCCCACGTCGAGAACTTGGTGGCGGGGAGGAACGTCCGCGGTCGGAAGGACCTCATGGTGACATGGCTGGGGTATCCTGCAAACGAGAATATGTAGGGACCTTGACTAGAAAACTTCGCGACTGTCGTAGTATCGTTCGCACGATCGATGCAGGTCCGAAAAGGGACGCCGCTTAGGGAAGCTGTCCCTTCACTCACTTGACTCACTACGTGTGATGGTATCTCATGATGTGGATATCTAGTACAAAATAGGAGTCACCCGATACCCTTCAAAAGTCGCCTACGAAGCAACGTATGGTTTGGTAAGCACCGGTCCAGCAAGTAAACATTAAATAAACGCTTGGTGCGCACATGTTAAGCGTGTCAACAAAAAGATTATTTGACACACATGTCAGCGCCCTTGGCAAGTCAGTTTTGGCAGAACGTTGGGCGTCCATTAGCATGGACTTGAGAGTTAGCCTTTTCAAATTTTTCAAAGTAGTGTCCGAATTGTCATAGTACCGGGCATATTGAGCGAGATAATCTATCGTGATGCTATCGGTACCACATTCACCGGGATGATACAGCCAATCCGTCTCAAGACAAATTGCTTTGCCAGCATAATGTTCCGATGACCACAGTTTGAGCTGAGATCGGCGTTCCAAAGCGAAAAGTACTCGTGAACTTTTGTTGAGGGGGCTGGACAACAATCTGGACATGACCACCACAAGTACAGTTGGTCATACCGAACGCTTTATCGCTGGGTTAAAGCCTTCAAATCTATTGCGCGGGGCGATGGCGGTACACTCCACTCATTTAATAAACCGCCCCTCTAGAATTAAATTCATTGGTTTGAACTAGTTGAGATCCCTCGTGTTCTGTGAGTAGCTCTGATCATTACTCAATGAAGTCACATCATAAGTATTAACGAAATGAACTCGGCGCGATTGATCTCCATAGGCCAAGTTTTTGACACCATGAAAAGAGGTCAGAGTGGCCAAAAGCAACAAGCAGTAACCCGGTGTAGACTAGGATCTGTAGTCTGACCAATAGATTGTTTGATGACGTTACATCAAGTGTTTACGGTATATCAGACCAAGTTGCGTTTTCGATACACGAGATCTCATTCGTTCGTAGCCAGAAGTAATCAAAGCTTTGATGAAAATGCGAGCATGCACTATGTTCTTGGCAGCCACACGTGC